TTAAAATTTTATTAATAAAAATGTTTAAATAATAATCATTATTATGTTTCAACTAGTAAAGAGCATGAGATACTATAGAATAATATACATTAAAATCATTAAATATTTTACTATTAAAAGAGTAATGATACACAATAAGAATATTAAGTAATGAAGGATAATGAGGCAGATCTGTAGCAAATTTTAGCACATCCTAAAAAATATTTATCACATTACTATGATATGCATATTGATCATCACAAAGACAATATACAGAATCAATTAGAAAAATTTGAGTTAACAACATCTTTTCTATTTGGATAGACCTTGTAATTCTTTAAATACTTTACCAGGATCTATATTATTTCTTGCTGAGAACTTTTTACCTCATTTTTTCTATGTAGCAATGTCGATATTCACCAATCTTTAAACAAAAATTGTGTAAGAGTTTTTGGTTAGATTTAGAAAGACAATAGTTATTGATAACTTATAAATGAGCAGCTTGATGCAATCATTAAGGCAACTATTTTACTTTTGTACATGGTTATTACTTAGTTGCTTCTTACATTGTTCAGCATTTTCAGCCTCTCTTTTAATACATTTAGACATTCTATCACATTACAGACGTTGTTTTCATTGATCAGGTATTTCATTTTCTCTATTTTACATTTTCAAAGGTATCACGAAGAGGTCAGACATCCATGTTGCAAAATAGCAAATACACAAATACAATAGTTGCAAATATAATTTCACAGTAAATTTAAACGTCAAAAAAAACAATTCTTTATTTTATTATTCAATATACAATAGATATGATATTTATATTTTAAGAACTTTTAATTACAATTTTAATTTTAATTAACACACTACAAAAAGTAAAAAATTTAATATACTGTATAAATTATAAAAAAATCATCACGCGTCACAAAAAACTGATTACGTGACGATCAAACACATGATCAACAATAAATATTATTGGTTAAGGACAGACATCCCTTGCCTCACAATGTGTCTAACCGATGATGTCCTCAGCTACGCTTCGGACAAATTATTTTAGAACTAATTGACACGTGAAACAAAATAATTAATCATAGCATTACAATTACATGCATCAGTTCTATAAGTGCGAAATCAATTTCAAGCGATCTTTGTTTCTTTTCTAAAGCTTAAAATTGTTAACCTGCAATTCAGCCAAAGTAAAACTGTGTTTTGATTAAAAAGTAATTATTTAAATTAGTATCTAGAAAAATAATAAATAAAAAAAATGACAGAAATATCCTAATCATAAAAAAAATATACAATTTTCCTTTCTAAGAAATTTAGATGTTCATTCAGTTGCTATTCCTGCAGAACGAAAATTACTTAGATAAAAAAAAATAAGACATTCTCTTTCAACTAAAAGGCCAATTCAAAATAAAATACAAATAGAGGTTCGAAATATTCTAAAAGTATATTCGAATTTCCCGTGAAATTCGATATTCGAATACGGTTGAGTATTCATTAAATACATGTAAACTTTTAATTTTTATGCACAAGTTTAATTATATCAAAAAAAAAAAAATGCATTGATAAGTAATAATTTAATTCGTCCATCCGATTTCATATCATTTATAAATGGACGTTTACTGCTTGTGATGTGCCGATATTTGACCCATTTCGAATGGAAGGAAACTATAAATGGCTTCCTCTAAAAATTAACTTGGCATTATGGAAATTACGGAAATTTACGGCAATACGGCATTTACGGAATTACGGAATTACGACGGTTTACGGTTTTTATTATACGACGTAACCAACCGTATCTTCTTTAAATCCATCTGATGTAATGACACCAACTGGATAACTCTTTATGACTCTTTTATTGGTCTCATATTAGGTTTAATGATAACGTCATCAATTTCCCAAAGAAATGAAATTTACATGGTCTATATGATTGAATTCATTGGATTGTTGGTAAATCGCGTTTTAATAAGGTGAACAATTGTACATCAAAGATATTTTACTTTGAAGAAAGTTTTAACACGTAAAAGGAAATTTATCATATAATCGGTCAATCTACTGTCAATCTTTCAAGGATTTCTCTTATCAAGGATCGAAATCTAATTCTAAAAGACCAATCAAATAAATCGAAACATCCAGTCCAGCCTCTTCTAAGAAGTATATCCAGATGTGGATAATCTCATGTTAAACAATCTAATTCTAAAAAAGAAACCAAAATGATGGCATATATCGAAGGGACAAATCAGATATGAACTTATTAAATTACCAAGCAATTATATAATATAATGCACAACAAGCAATTCAAAGGGTTTCGTTAATTAGTGTATTAGGATTTCACAGTACAGCTTGCCAAGAATGGACAAAAAAGAAATAATGTTTTTAAAAAAAATCATTTTTTTTTTATTAGTATGAAATTTTAATTTAACATTAATTATTTTGTTTTACCAAACAAAAGAATGTTTATTTGATTGATCAGGGTAACAAATTTTTCTCCCACGTGTAAATCGAAATGATCGACAAGTAAATTTGAGATATTGTGATCGAACCTTAAAATCGTGTTACCACCATTCAAGGAGTAAGATTTCAATTTTAAGGAACGCTGTGGAAAATGTCAATGACGGTAAAATTCGGCGAAACAAATTAAAAAAATTTTTTTTTCGGAACATTAGCACCTATTTTTAATCATAGAGAACCACTAATAATTTAAACCTTTGGTGTTCATCCTGACTAATTCAAAAATCAGTCCCTGTTTCGTGTGCGAAAACAAATAGAAAAAAAGAAAAAAAAAGAAAAAAAAAAAAAAGAAAAAAAAGATTGCCCGCACGCCTTGGTCATATTAAAAAGTAAAATCGCCCATTTAAGGAAATTTGACCCCGGATCTGCAAGGTTGTAATCAATTAAATCGTATCACGTGATATATTCGGTTTATTGAAGAACCGTAACGGTATGATCAAATTTAGAAAATAGATTCCGATCTACTAATAAAGCCGCCGTTGATCAGCCGAAGCATATCAATTAACGAGAAGGTTTGATAGGCTACGTGATTATTGCAATAAATAATGTTTGAAGTTCTTTAACCAATAAACATGGCTTAGTTATTTCAATTTTCTTAATAATTAGTTTTGTAATCATCTTCCGATTGCATTTTGACATTACTCGTTATGGTAAATTTGTGGCGCAGCTTCCTTATAAAGAAAACTCTCCATTAACATAATCGTGATTGTAATCAATTATATGTCAGAAAATATCAATGTTCGGATGATTTGATTAAAGGGATGTTTGAAAATATATGTTTTTGAAACCGAGGTATGATCTTATTTCTAGAATGTCGCGGTTTTAATCCAAATATGGATAAAATTTTAGGCGATTTTAAAAGATATATTAGGTGTTTATAACCGGTCTAAAAAGATTCAGAAAGAATTTTATTCTCTCACTTTTTCCCTTCTTTGGCCTTAATTCTTCGTCATCTCCCTCTCTTTCCTTCCTTTACTCTCCTCTCCTTCCTACTCATCTTTCTTATACAACGATCCCGCTGGCTAATTTACATTCATTATTTATATATATATAATTAATAAAACCATAAAAAATTAATATTATATTATTAATAATAACTTTTTTTTCACTGATAGGGTAACTCCTCTATTATTTTATTTTGAATAAAAATATAGAAAATAAAAAAAATAAAAAATGGCAGGACCCATGAATTCATTTGATCATCAAAACAAACGACCTCTTTCACTACAATATCAACGTCCGCTCAAAGATGATCGTCCAAATGTAAAACCACCTCCGCCAATTCAAACATTTAATTATTCTCATGACGAAGATACCTCGAGGGAACCTCCTCAATACGTTCGACATTCCATTCCTGATTCTCTTCAAAGTTATTTCGATTGTTACCAACAAGCTCAACGTCAACTATATGGACATGATGATAATGATTCGAATGGTCGTCGTCGTGAATCTTCACGATATCCATCAAACAATAATCGTTCGTCAAAGATCTCATTTCAAGAACAATATCAGGCCATGAAAAACAAAAAAGAAGTAAGTTCAAGAAAATTTTATTTTACTGCGGAGATTACGTCACGTGTCATTCATTCATTTTAATCTTCTCCTTCCCTTTGGCAAAAAAAAAAAAAAATTATAGATCATTCGACAGGTAGAGTTGACCAAAGGAAATTTGGTATTGAACTGTCCGGTGCCAGAACAAGTCCTTAGAAATGTTAAGCACGTCTCGGGAGATGAGTTTACCCATATGAGGTATACTGCAGTAACGTGTGATCCAAATGATTTCACTTCTGCGAATTATTCGTTAAGACCACGAATCTATGGTAGACAAACCGAAATAATGATCGTGGTGACGATGTATAATGAAGATGATCAATTGTTTATTAAAACGATGTCATCGATCATTAAAAATATAACTCACTTTTGCTCTAAAGAAAAGTCAAAAACATGGGGGAAAGGTGGATGGCAAAAAGTTGTGGTGGTCTTTGTGGCCGATGGACGTAATAAGGTTAATAAAAGAGTTCTTGATGTACTTGAAGTGATGGGGGTGTATCAAGAGAACGTTTTACAAGATTCCGTAGTGGGAAAACCAGTTACAGGTCACTTATTTGAATATACATCACAATTGATGGTAGACTCGGATTATAATATTAAAGGGGCAGATCAAAATGTTCCACCAATTCAGATGTTATTCCTTTTAAAGGAGAAAAATGCTAAAAAAATAAATAGTCATAGATGGTTCTTCAACGCATTCGCAGCGCAATTGAATCCAAATATTTGCATATTATTGGACGTTGGAACCAAACCTTCACATTCGGCGATTTATCATTTATGGAAGGCATTTGATAGGGATCCCAATGTTGGAGGTGCTTGTGGGGAAATTAAAACCGAACTTGGAAGTAAATGTGTGAATTTAATTAATCCTTTGGTAGCGGCTCAAAATTTTGAATATAAGATGGCAAACATTTTGGATAAACCATTAGAATCAGTGTTCGGATTTATCTCGGTATTGCCAGGTGCCTTTTCGGCTTATCGATATAAAGCATTACTAAATACGACGCCTGATTTAGGACCTTTGGCTTCATATTTTAAGGGGGAGACGATGCATGGTTCCGGAAATGCCGGTATAATTGAAGCAAACATGTATTTGGCGGAAGATCGTATCTTAAGCTTTGAGTTAGTATCCAAGAAGTATGAATCGTGGAAATTAAAATATGTTAAGGATGCCAAGGCTGAAACCGACGTACCCGTCACCGTATCCGAATTTATTTCACAACGTCGTCGGTGGTTAAACGGAGCTTTCTTCGCCGCGGTTTATTCATTCGTGAACTTTTCAAGAGTTTGGACTTCGGGACAATCGATCTTTCGAAAATTATTACTCACAATCATATTTATTTATAACGCCGTTCAATTGTTATATAATTGGTTCGCTATTGGAAATTTTTATATGGCCTTCTATTTCTTGACGACCTCCTTAATGTCACCTCAGGGTACAGAACTAATTAAAGCGATATATGGTATAGTTCTTCTCACCATATTCATTAGTTCAATGGGAAATCGACCTCAAGGTTCCAAATGGTTATATATGGCATGCATCGTTCTATTTGGCATAATTATGATCGTAATATTGTATTGTGGAGCTTATACCGTGTTCGTGGCATTAAAAGACACCACCTTAGATCAATTACCCGCTAAATTCGAGATAGCAGAATTTCGTAATATCATGCTCTCAATATCCGCTACCTATGGTCTTTACACATTTTCTAGTTTAATTCATGGAGATCCATGGCATATGATAACAAGCATATTTCAATCCATTTTATTAATACCATTTTACATTAATATCTTGGTGGTTTATGCATTCTGTAATATTCACGATGTTTCCTGGGGTACAAAAGGTGATAACAATCATAATGGTGGTGGTAGTGGCGCGCAACCCGTTGTTCTTGGTGCAGGTGTTAAGGATGTTGTGGTACAAGTTAGCGAAATAAAGAATATCGGTGATACTTATGATGATGTAGTGATGAAATTAAAAGTTGGAGAGCCCGAAGGTAAACAAAGTAGGGATGCGGCTACCAAAAAGAGTGATTATTATAAACAGTTTAGAACTAACGTGGTGTTGACGTGGGTATTCTCAAATATTATTTTGGTATTTTTCTTCACCTCGGAGATTTGGGAAAGTTACATCAAAAGAACCTATGGTGAAAATGCATATAATCCTTATCTAACATCTCGTAAGTTTAACTTTTTCTTTTTTTTTATCAAACAAAAAAAAAAAATGTGATTTATTTATTAATGAAAAATTTTTTTTTTAAATTTATAAATTAGTATTCTGGGCTGTTAATGCTATTTCAGCATTTAGGGCATTCGGTTGTGTTTGGTATTTGGTCCTTAGATTAATATTTGGGTAAAAATTAAATTAAACAAACATTTGGGTACATTTTTTTTTTTTTTGTACATTAATTATTTTTGTGAAACCGGGCATTTCTTGTGGCGCAGCATCAGTTCATAAGTAGTAGTAGTATTTATAGAGTTTGATATTCTAAGCTACTCTTTTTCTTTTTGACTTGAAACTATGGCTTGGATATGAATTTGCTGCTGTAACATATAACATATTTTGGGTAATATATATCTATAGAAATTAAAAAATTGTGATATAAATTTTACTTTATTAAAATCAAATAAACATTATTTAACCTGCATTGAAATATTGAATTTCGGAATATAAACTTAAACGTCATGACTCCGGGGGATCTCATTATTCCCGAAATTTTTACATTTTATACAACACTTCCAATTTCACCTAATTGAGTTTTACGAATTTTATTAATTGGATTTTATAAACAATAATAAAATTATGAAAGCTTGTAATCGCATTATTTGGAGCATTTATCTGTCCTCAACACTAAATTTTTTGGTGTTAATATTCTATTGAAATTAACCTTTCGGATGAAGGTATATCTGTGCAATGATTCACTCAAAGTAAAATTATTGTTGTTGTTACTTGTCAATGAAATATAATGTGCTTTTTTAGTCTTAAAATTAGTTGAATTACATCATGATAAATTTTTTTGCGTATCATCCTTTTTTTTTTTAAAAAAAAAAATAAAGAAAACTTTGGATCGGGTCACTAATGACTGAATTGGTGAAATATTAGCTCCCCCACGTTGAAACCTTACTAACCTATCCTTTAGAGGTTATCTAAATCAAAATCATCGTTAGAAATTTACATATAGACGGCACGCAACACATCAATCATATCGCTATTGATATTTTGCCCTTTCGATTAGTTTGATCCCTTCTTGCATTGAATTTAGTACAAAATTCTTTCTTTCCGACTTCATTTATTATGAATTCTTTTTTTTTCACAATTTTTTTTTTTTTTTCCTATAAAAAGAAAGCACGAGTCCGTTTTGGAGATTTGGCCAATCAAAAATTGATCATTAATTATTTTTGATTGGTTAGATCTGATAAATTTTTATATGTTCAATTAATTTTTACAAATGAAAATGGACTTTGCGAAATCTAAAATTTTGAGGCGTGACAAACAAAAGTTCGTTCGAAATTTAGAAATTAACGATGCACTTTGCAACGATCTTCTAAAAAAAGAAACTTTTTATTCTTTAAATATCAAAAATATCAATACAACGTATAAAAGGGTATGAAACAAAAATAAAAAAAAAAATGTGTGCGTGTTAATTGTTATGATCCTGAGAAACTACACTAATTTTTGCGGTTAAAAATGAAAGGAAAATTGCAGATAAGACCACGAGGGTAACTTTTAATTTATCAGAATCAGGTACCACTATATATTTTTGAGCAGGACGCATGGCAACAGTATGAGTATCTAAATAAACAAAATAAGTGTAAAGAGGGAAAGAGACACAAGATGAGAAAGCGAATAATATATAAGAAACGATTTCAAAGGACCAAATCGTAACGATAACATTTCCAAAGATATGAGCGAAAGCGGCAAAGACCAATAATAAGGTGTAACGAGGAAGGAAGTAACCGACCGATTTGTCACGCACATCATCATTTTCCGATCTATTACTATCCCCACTAGTGGTACGATCAGGATTTTCGACATCAAAGAGACGATGAGACTCATCACCAATTCCCTTACAAGTACCAAAAAAGATGCGAGAAAATTGTATCACTAAAGTGTAATCCAATACAAGTCCTTGCATTTTAAACCAAAGGGCATCCGCGGGCCAACTTAAATAAAGGCTTAATGCTGTGGTGATTAAGACGTAAATGATGATCCAAGCTGGAAATGAACTTGATTTGACGCTACCCCCTTGATGTACGGCATATAAGATCATTACTTCGATTGCATTATGTAATACTCCTGTCGTAACCCACATTTTACCAACGTCCAACGTAAAAAATGTCAATCCTGTCAAGGATGTAAACGTTGCGTACCATGCTATTAAACGATCAAATTCGATGGTAGATGTTTTATTTATGTTTTTATCAATGAAAGTCGTTTTAAATTCTTCAGGAACTTGAGAGGTCCATTTGAATGTAAAGTATGCACAAATTGCCAACACTATTACCGAGAAAATGATGGTTGCTCCTAGACTTTCGTCATTATATCCTTCCAAAGGAGGATGCCAAGCGGGAAATCCGGTGTGAGTTCCATTGTCTTGTGGTATATTCAAGCCATCCTTATCTCCTGCCAAACTCAATATCAAGATTCCAAGTGAAATAGAAACTGCTATGATAGCAATGATGGTTATCCCTCTACTCATCCTTTACTATATGTTTCTTTTTTTTTTTTTTTTTATCAAGTTATGTGAAATTTTTTTTTCCTTCCCTTTGGTAAAGGAGACAAAAAAAAAAAATTATATACAAATATATATTTAATTTCTTATTCGAGTGGTATCTTTATACAAAAATTGTGCCATCGTTGTTCTATTTAAATTTCCCATATTAGGAAGATTCAATAGGTTAATAGATTTAGAAGATTTAGATGAAAATTCGGGTAAATCATTGCCTTGATCGGGAAACAAAGAGTACGCACGGCACGCGATAAGAGTTTTTAATAAAAGTGGTACATCTTTTTGTGGTTCAAAAGATAACCGATCATTCTTATGGTTATCAATATTTACCTGATAGGAAATATCGTAGTTACTCCTCTGTGTATATATATAAGATTAGTTTACTTAAGCGATTCGGTGGAGTGAGATTCTGATTAACAATAGATAATGTTGTAACAAGATATGTTTATTTGGAATGAAAAAAAAACGCACGTAATTAAATTAACGGTTACTTTAATATCTTAAAATTAGGATTAAACTAGACCGATCTATCATTTGTTTATTCGTTATGCACCGCAAATCAACCAAAATTGCAAGGGGGGGTTTCTACGTTGCCGTATGAAGGTTTAATGTGAAAATTTTATATATTTTTTGTAATAATTTTATATTTTTATTAAACGGTCGGTAATTTGTTGAAAATTAAATATACTGTAATACAATCAAGCTACATCTGGATGTTATAATGAAAAAGCCATTAAAAATTTTTTGGTGAACGTTTTACAATGCAAATGTTCAACTTTTTTTTTTTTTCCATTTAAATTTTCCTTTAATTGACAGTTCACCCTAAAAAAAACTGTACGCTGGAGATCATCAAATTGTTTGTTGCGGCTGGTTTTTTTTATAAAATTTCTTTATTGGGATTAACTAATTTTAAACCCGCGAAAAATACTTCAACGTAAGCTTGTCTGAATATTATCTATCATATCTAACAACAACAAAATAAATAAAGTTTTATTATATCCCTTTCGGTAACATTCAATCGTTCTGTTTAATTCAGTCTATTTATGTATAATTTCGATAAAATTCTGTTCTGTATAAATAGGAAGGTAGTCTATCATTTCAACCATTTTACCCTCTCAAAAAAATTCTTCTCTTAAAATTAAATCAATTTCAAATTTTTTGTTTATAACATGGATGCCGAAATGTAAATTTATACCACATATATATATATATGTACAATATATATAATCTTTCTCCAATTTTTTTAATTTTAACTTTTTTTTTTGTTGTAATTTATTCTAGAGTGACTAGAGAGAAAGATCTCGGCAATGGCATTAATTTAAAAACCGATAAACTATCCGAGACAGAATCTGGTATATGGTTTAGCATTAAAAACGTATTCAACAGGTATTAATAATCCATGTAACGTTTTCTTCAAAATGAATTTGATAATATTTTCTTTTTAACCCTTTTATTTTACTTGAATTAATATCAGTGCGCTGGGCCAAGAAATCCATGAACGTGAAGTTTTGGTCAAAACGGATAATGAGGATGACAATAAAGTGATAACAGAAGTAACCACTAAATCGGAGGTTAAATCATTTTACGATGGATTCTTCGATGGATTGATTTCTCATTTAAGGTATGCATATATATATCTCCCTATAATAATTTTTCGTCATTATTATTACTTTAAATACCTTTTAATTTTTATTGAAATCTGTTCCAGAACGGATTTTGAAAAATTTGAAAAGATTATTCATGGATTTAATGCCATGCATGAAAATTTACCGAAAAAACTTTATGATAAATCAATTCATCCTGAAATCGAATGGGATGCAGAAGTTAGAACTTCTAATGAATTGTGCGATGAAGAAAAAAAATTTTTGAGTGAAAGAAAAGAATACATAAGGGAGGCTTTCGCCAAATACGTTGGAGTTACAGTTGAAGAAATCCATGTGGAAGATATTCCCATAATTGGATTTGCCGGAAGTGGTGGTGGATTTAGAGCCATGATCGCAAACACGGGTAATGGGAAATTCAAAAAAAAAAAAAAAAAAAAAAAAAAAAAAATTTTTTAACATTTTTTTACTGATTTAATGTTTGGTAAAATTTTATCTAGCTTATATGAAAGCAACACAAGACTCCGGATTATATGATTGTGGTGTTTATTTCGGTGGTAAGTTAATGAATATTTTACAATTCTAAAAATAAAAAAAAATTTATATATATTAATTAGATTCACTCCATAGGTGTAAGCGGTTGTTGTTTGGCATTAGCATCACTATATTCTTCATTATACGCCACAAAAGAAGATCCAGTTCAAGCTCAATTGGATGGTTTTAAAGAACGTTTACCGCTTCATATAGTGAATGACTTTTTTGATGATTTATCAAACAATCCATCTCCTGAAGCAGCAATCGAATTATCATTTTCTGGGTTGGTTATAAAAAAAGAAATAGGTTTGAATATACAGCCAATTGACACCTTTGGGTGTTTATTGAATGCTAAACTTTTAATTGGAAAAGATCCAGAGTCCCAACGTCGGGATTATAAAGATTTTAAATTAAGTCAACAAAAACGATTTTTGGAAGGTGGTAAAAAATTGATGCCCATATACACTGCGTAGGTGTCTGAAAAAATTTCTTTTTTTAAGGTGAAAAAAAAAAAATTTCTAAATCCCAACTTTTTTTAACTTTTTAATTTAGGGTTCATCAAGTTCAAAGAGAAGAGGAGCAGGATAAGGTTGTACCGGAAAATGTGAAGGATGAACATGGGCTACACTTTGTTTGGTATGAATTTACTCCATTTGAAATCGGTTGTGATGAACTAGCTGGTAAGCGACAATCTTCTTATTTTTTAAAACGGTAATAATTTTTACAATTTATAAATTTCGCCTACTTTTTTTTAGAATGGGTGCCTTCTTGGGCTTTCGGACGTGAATTCAAATGCGGAAAAAATCATAATCGTATACCAGAACAAAATATTGGTCAGTTAATTGGGTAAGTAAATAATATTCTTTAAGATCAAATTAAAAAGAACTCTCTCGATAAATTTATGACTTTTTTTTTCGCTCCTAATTTTCATATAGAATGTTCGGCTCAGCACCATGTGTGCCTGTTAGTGGAATCATTGAAAAAGTTGAGCAAGTTTTATATACTGGTTGGATTAAAGAAAGTTTGAAGGCAATTTATGAAGAAGTATGTTTATAAAAGAAAAATATATTTCTTTTGTTTACGTAAACGTATAATACATCTAAATTTCTTCTCTCTTTTTAAGGCTGTTGACATTATCGGAGAAGAGGTAAGAACTGAATTGGAAGGAATAAGTTTAATTGACCCTGCAGAAAATTACACTTTCTCTTCTAAACTCGAAACAGAAGATGAAATCTTAAGATTTATCGATGCAGGAGTATCTTGCGATTTACCATTAGATCCAATGGTTCATCCAAGTAGGCAAGTGGATGTAATTATAGCATTTGATTCTTCAGGCAGTTCAGAAAGTTTAGATTTCTTTGAAGAAGTGCATTCACAATTTACAAAACGTAAAGGAATAACAAGCAAAAAACTCGAAGGGAATGATAAATATTGTGTAATGTATGATTATTCTTATACACCAAATGGAAAACGTCAAGATGCGACAACTAATGGAACTCCCGACTCTCGTCAAATGAAACTTTGCTATTTACCATTTGTGCCCCATGAGAAGGTTGATAAAAATTTTATGCCTTTTAAAGATAGATCTACTTCTTTTGCCAAGTTTGATTACACTCCCGAGGTAGTTGATAAAATTATCAAATTAGCTAAACAAAATTGGTTAGAAGCTGAGGAAAGGGTTAAAAATGTTGTTATTGATGCTTGGAAGAAGAAAAAAGATAATAGACTAAGCGGTATGAAAATATAAATGTAATTGTATCATATTATTGTCCGAAGGACCTTATACTGTCGTTTTGTACTATAGCCTGATCAACGAATGAAATTTGTGGATTTGTTTATTATCAATTTTGTGTTACGTAAATATGTCAAATTGTAAATTACTATTTAGATTACATTATATTTTGTGTCATTTATATTATCAAAAAAAAAAAATTTGGGGGGGGGGGGGAAAAAAAAGACGCGTAAAAGAAAAAGAAATATCATTTGTTTTTATGAAAATTGGTTTAATAAAGCTAAAAAAAAAAAAAAGGTTAATAAAGTTTAAATTAAAACTATTTTGTGTAAACCGATAAAACGGTTACTCGGCACTTCGTGCCGAGTAACTATTACTTATTATTGGCCATGTTATCGAAATTAACCCAATTATTATCAAAATTATCGCTTCGGACCAGAACGGTTTCCGTTCCCTAGTTTAATATAGGATTATATAAAAAGTGTATCACCTGTCGCAAATTTCTTAATGAGAATTCAGCGGATATTAAATTACCGCGTATGTCCTGAATATCAAAAAGGCTTTTACACCTACAAAATGCATCGTAAACATAGCTACTTTCTTTTTGAATTTACTCTTCAGTAAATATGTGTAAAGGTTAAGTATTTACACTAAAATTGGAAATCGTTTTTCAAGGAACACAATTTCAATCCTTCGATATTTCAATCATTTAATCACCTCGTTCAAATCTTCTGCTAAACATACTTATTAGTAACAATTTGTCAGATCTATTCAACATTATAAATTTCTTGAATTATTCTTCATAAGTCTGCGACATATCACCTGATAAGTCTATTAGTGATATTATTACAGTCAGGAGTATTTTCAAAATTGGAATCGATTCCAGAATTAATTCTGCTGATCATGCCGATCATTTTCATAGGAAATTTTGAAACTATAAAATTTTTATTTTTTTTTGCAAAAATTAAATGTTAGAATATACTGTATATTTTTGAGTATATAGTTTTAGAATCCACTGGAATCCATATAGTGTTCAGACCCGTAAACCGTTAATAACGGATAAAAACGGATATCCGTTATTATCGGGTATCCGGTTTGAAATTTATTAGACGGATTATCATCCGGGTTTAAAAAATTATTAACGGATTTAACCGGTTGAATATGATAACGGATATCGGATATCGGATACTTAACATTAATCCGGATGTGTAATGGGTTATCGGGACTAACGGATTAACATTACACCATTACGGCATGCCATAATAAAATGTAAATTATTATTATTAGTACTAGTACCATGATTCTAATGTTAGGCACATAATATGTAATTTTTGAATAACGGATTACCTACTGATCGAAAAAAGATATGTATTAAATTATGACTAAAATCATCATAAACAAATTAAACAAATTGTGCAATGATTTAGGTAGTGTATTCACCTACATACTGCTTGTTAAGACGATCATCAAAAAAATTCGCGATTTCATTAATAAATATTATTCAAAGCTGTTAGTTATTAAGTGAATATTTACTGTATAATTGAATTGGTAAAAATATATTCAATTTTCATCGTCAAATTTTAAATATTCATAAATATTTATTATCCGAAGCTAATAAATAAAAAAAAATATTATCTATATTATAAACGCATACCTAGTATTCGGGCTCGTTATCTGATATAAAATTTGATTAACCAGATATTAAAATTAGCTATCGGATATAACGATTAAATCTGATAAAGAATATCAGATAACTATAGCATTTAAACAGGTTATCGGATATCTGATTATAATAAACGCCAAATTAGATAATGCACAAACTTTTTTTTCTTTTTTTAGTTACTTTGTTTTATAATATGAACGATACAAGTAATATAAGACAAGATAGTCCTTTGACTTCTGAAGAACAACCAACAACAAAAATAAAACTAAATCGAAAAAAAAGAAGTTGGACTTGAAGATGTAGAACAAACAAATGATAAAGGAGAATTGCTTAAAAGATGTAAAGTTTTAGATATTCAAGGAAATAAATGCGGAACTCTTTATGTTAATGACGGTTCAACTGGAAATGCTATTAATCATTTATTAACTGATCATGAATTATCGAAGAATGGTAAAACTAATAATGTATGTATTTTTTTTTGATTTTATTAAGTCAAAAAATTATAATTTAATTTATTGTTTTTTTTTGTAGAAACAACAAACTCTTCCTGCTATTTTTCGGGTTCAGAAACATAAAGAAAATCGTCAAAATGAACTTCGACAATTTTTAGTTGATTGGATAATTGATGACCTTCAACCATTATATGTAGTTCAAAATCAATCATTTCGTCGATTTATTAGTGAATTAGATCCAGCCTTTATAATGCCTGATGAAAAAGGAATCAAATAAGTTATTCATTATGCTTATAATTTTACATTACCAATTTTAATTAAAAAAACTAATACAGAAGCAAGAAGTGTATCATTAACCACTGATATGTAGACCGCAAGAAATAGGCAAGGATATATTGGCATAACTTGTTCTTATATTGATTCAAAATTTAATCTTAATGAAATTACTTTATCTATTAATTATGTCCGGTACCCTCATGATGCTCAACATATTATTGAAAGTTTAGAAGATATTCTTGTAAAATGGAATTTACATGAAAAAGTTTATACGATTACTACTGATAATGGACCAAATATAAAAAAAGCAATTTTAAATATGAATGCAATTAAATGGCAAGGATGTAATGCACATACTCTTCAACTTATAATCGGAAAAGGTTTAGTTCCTGTAAAAGTTTTAATTATACAAGTAAAAAGATTAATTGAATTTTTACACGTCCTAAACAATTAGAACGCTTAGAAGATATTCAAAAAAAATATCCAAATGCAAATATATTAGATAGTTTGGAAATTGAAACGGAAGAAACAAATATTGTAAGATTTATTTATTTTTTTTTTTTTTAAAAAATTTAGTTTATAATTAAAGTTGTATTTAAAATTTAATTATGTATTTATATAAATATTATTTTTTTTTAATAAATTTGAAAATTATTTTAATTATTTTTTAAATTATATTTACTTTCATTATAATTTTTTAATTTATATATTAATTATAGAATGCTAAAGATACAGCTAAATATCTTCAATTGATTAATAATATATCTACACGCTGGAATTCGAGTTTTCTTGCATGGAAATGTTTATTATATCTAAAAGGATGGATTAAAATTTTATTAAATACAATTTCAAATTATACAGATCAAAATTCAAAAAAAGATGCTAAAAGGTTGAAAGAAATAATGATTAATGATGATGAATGGGATCTTATTATGGATTTAACAGAAGTATTATCAGTATTTGTAGAAGTAACAGATGTATTAGGAGGAAGCAATTATATAACCAATAGTTTGTATATACCAATGTTGATGGAAATTACTAAAACACTTACAACAAATTTATTATCATATGATAAAGATTCTGATAGTAATGAACAAGATGATGTATTTGAAAATGATGACAAAGAAGAGGAATTAACAAATAGAAATATTATAATTAATGAACCAGTTAATACTTTTGGTTTACTTGATAAAGTTAAATCAAAATTATTTACAAATATAAAAAAATATTATCCTACACTTACCATTGAAAATCTAATTCCTTCAATATTAGATTCTCAGTTGAAAAAACTTGACTTTACTTTAATAGATCAACAAGTTAATACTGAATGGCATTTATATGAATTGTTTGAACAAGAAAAAGAAGATTATCAAAAAGAAACTGGAATACCTAATTCTTTAGAAGTATCTCAACCAAAATCTTTAGCAAAAAAAAAAACTTTAATAGCACGACTTGCTAAAGATAATGTAGTTGCTCTTAATGAAGTTGGTGAATATCTTCAATTACCAGAGATTCCATTAGATTCAAATCCTCTTGCATGGTGAAATGAAAAAAAAGACAAATTTCCTATTTTAAGTCACCTTGCTTAAAAGTATTTGGCAGTTTCTGCAACATCAACTGCAAGTAAACGACTTTTTTCTGATACCGGTAATCTATTAACTAATAAAAGGATACATATAAAGCCAGAATTATTCAAGAAGATTATGTTTTTAAAAAGAAATGCATCTAATTTTGATACAATTCACTCTAATACAACTAATTAAACATACTATACCAATATACTGACTTTAATAAAAGTTTTATTTTTTGTTAAATATCCATTATAATTAACAATTTCGTGGGTTCAATAAATGTTATGAATGCAAAAAATGAGTAAGAAATTTTTTTTTGCAAGTTGGCTTATTTAATTTAATAAACTGATTTGTTTAGTCAGTATCGGGCGTATTGTCAAATCTGATTGTAATAAATAATAGGCTTAGTTTAATTCTTATAATTTGAATTTGTTTATTTAGAAAATGCTAATATTGATAAAAATTTTGGTACTTCTACGACATCAAAATCATAATATCTAGGTATAAATAACCTGTTAATCAACTGTTAAACTGTTATCCAACCATTAATAAACTGGTATCCATCTTTTATCCACCCATTAATTTAACGGATTAAACCTATAAACAAACCAGATTAAAATTTTATTAACAGTTATCAATCCGGATTAGTTTTTTCTTAATGGATAAATCCAGTTTATTTATTAACAAACCAGGTCTGAACACTAAATCCATAAGACTTTATAAAGTAATTTCTTTTAAATCATATATATTAATTTTATAATTAATGATGATAATTTTATTTCTACACAAACTTCTTTTTATTCTTTACTTTAATTTTTAGATCTTATCAAATGCAATACCAAATTTTTAATACAGAGGGTGATCATGGATACCTGAATAATAAGTATTTTTTGTTTATTCACTTTATTTACATATTTACGTATATTTCTAATTTAAGCATTTGTTTAAAATATAAATGGATGTCAATCACAAATAATAAATAATTTTCTTTTGAACAAAAATGGTTAAAGCAAAAGAATTGAATGCTGAACAATATAAAGCAATTCTTTATGATCACAAACGAGGTGATTTATATCAAAAATTGCTGACATTGTACAATGTGATAAAATAACTGT